GTAAATACTTTATTTTCATCATCTTTATTGAACAGAAATTGTGTTATGTTGATCATCCAGGAGCATCTTTTATATTTCAACCATAATCTCAGCCTCTCAAACAAATTCATTTTTCTAAACAAAGAACAGAATTCTTTGCCTCTGTCAGTCTTCCATGTAATTATTTTTCATTTTATATCCACATTACATATAATGTCTTCGAGTAATTAGGACGTCATCTAAACTTTTAAATAAAATCAAATAAAATGCATGATCTACAAAAGAAATAACAATATAAATGCCAGCTGTTCTAGATTTATCGCAAAAATACAGTACATTGAATTAATAATTAATAAACATTTGAAATATCTAAAAATCTAGATCATATTATAAGCATTTGAAGCTCGGAAATGCAGCAAAGCTACGAAGATGAAGCGGGAAAGAATATAAGAAAAAGGAAAGCATTATTAAGCAGAGAGCAAAATGAAAGAACAGAGACTATAAAGATAGAAGATAACGACTGATATTGCATTTAAATTTTTGAAGATCAACCGTGAACGGGAAGCAAGAAATTTGAAAATAATTCCACAAGCGAGAAGTGAAAGAAAGGAAATTCTTAGCATAGAACTTACGGTTACATCTAGCGATTTCTACTCTAAACCCAGACCATATATGGCAGCCATATTCAAAGCATATCTTTATAATTTGACAGTTTATTATTATTATTATTATTATTATTATTATTATTATTATTATTATTATTATTTCCTTTGATTTTTGATGTGTACTCACTTCTTTCCGTGTCTCGACCAGGTACCTAAGTTTAGAAATGGCATCATGACTTTTTCCACTGGATAAAATAGTTTACATAGACAACGCCCTTCGTAAGATGTGGGCTGTACTCGTGAGAACATTTTTTTGTATTTCTTTAAGGCATGGGCTTCCAGGGATCCATTCAATTAGTCTACTAGAATATTTTCCAACCTATCCGAGGGCTCCAACTACACCGGTGATTGTTGATGTTCCCATGTGCCACATTTTTGAGATTTCGATTTCAAGGTCCTTGTATTTTGATAGCTTTTTGAATATCTTCAAAGATATATTGCAGTCTGCTGGGGTTGCCATATCAATAAGGAGGCATTTTTTTTTTAGGGGTCACTTTTTGTGTGCGATCTCTAATAACAATGTCTTCTTTTTATTATTATTATTATTATTGTTATTATTATTATTGGCATCTTACCAGTAGGCAATTTTCTGGGCATTTCTATGTTGATGTTACCTGGGACACTGATAATGAAATTGTCCATACCTTTTCTCACGATGTCCAGTGCTCCGATGACTATTGGTACAGTCTCAGTCTTCATTCCCCACATTCTGTTAATCTCGATCACCAGATCCTTGTATTTGGACAATTTCTCAATAATTTTCATTGAAGTGTTCCTCTCATTATTATTATTATTATTATTATTATTATTTTAAACATTTTACTCAAATCTAATCAGTAAAGACACTAAGACACAATGGGTTACTGAATGTAAAATAAGGAAAAACAAACAAACAAACATTAATGAACAAAAAACAATAAAAGAAGAGAAATAAATATAAGACTACATAGCGATAGACAGTGCATTTAAAATTTTCAAAATCAAATTTGAACAAAATATGAAACCAAAAGCATGTACCACAAGTGTGAGAGAAGAAATATGATAAAAATGACTGAATTAGGGGAGACATTTTGGTGAATATTGTCGAAACTAGAAATGTCAATCCTTTATACTCGCGACCTCTACACATCCTTCTGTGTGTGGGTGGGGATTGAAGTAGTTAAGGAGCGAAAGCGACACTTAGGATCAAAAGTACCGACTAGTAAGAAAACAAACTACTTGGTTGGGATATATTTTATCATTTTTTTCAGAGAGGAATGCTTTTATTTCATATCATCTTAGGTTATGTACTAACCCTAAAACAATTCCTCAAGTTCGGCAGTCACCAAAAATAGCAATATTAGATTAATTAAATGCAGTTCCTGGACAAGCAAAGAAAATAATATAAATAGTAATTATAATATCATTATTATTATTATTACAGTCTTTGATTTCTGTTATATTTATTTACCTTTCGTCACCAATCAGAGACTTATGGTCAGAAATATCATAATTACATTATCTACTGTATATTTGCATTAAATATATATATATATATATATATATATATATATATATATATATATATATGTGTGTGTGTGTGTGTGTGTGTGTGTGTGTGTGTGTGTGTGTGTGTGTGTGTGTGTGTGAAAAGTGTATGTAAATATAAATAAATATATATATGTATAATTATTTATATATTATATGCGCGGTACTTATTAGAAAGCGCTCAAAAAAATATTTTCATATTATGACATGGATACATTCACGAGACATTAACAAGACATTTCCGCCACACTTCCAATGTTTAAATTTCAACATTTCAACATACAAATGCGTATGTATAGATATAACACCACCCGTATACATACATGTGTCATAACCGAAACTGCCCACATATGTTTATATATGTATGAGTCCCGACGGACGACCAAGTATGTATATGTGTCTGCATACATCGATGTTTGCGTTAGTACGATGAATGACAAAACGACGAAATTTCCCCCACCACTTCCACAATAACACCAATACACGCAATCTACACAAAGCCAAATTTTTTAAAACATTAATTTTTAACATTAATTAGTCTGACGATCGCTAAAGCGTGAAACCCAGGGTCACAAACTCACATCTATCCAACCAAATATATATATATATATATATATATATATATATATATATATATATACATTTTACATACAGAAAGCCCTTCTTAGAATTAGTATTATTTTACGCACTTAACTTTTTATTACGTATCTTTACACAATGAAAATTTTCTAAACTTTAATAATCTTTGACCGATTTATCCTGAAAACATGATTTAACTTATTGTCCGTTTTCTTCCGCCTGTATCTGCTTAATAAGTGGATGGCATCTCTGTACCACCCTTTCATTGTGAAAACGGTTAGTCGTCACTTCTACTCCAATGGTTTCATGCCTCTCACTTCCCGTCTGTGGAACCCCCTTCCTCTTAATTGCTTCCTATACAGTTGTAATCATCAAATATTCAAATGTAATGTCAATCGACATATTATGATGCCTACATCTAATTCTTCGTCCGTATATTTATGCTTTCTTCAATCACGTTTCTTTAACCTTGCTCCCCCGCCTCTGTAACCCCGTGCATTCTAGTGGCACTCTTGCCTTGCTTAGGGTGAAATGTTAAAAAAAATGAAGTATGCATCATACAAAATAGGACAGGCAAATTAGAACTCGAACAAAAGGAATAACGGATAATATGGATAAGAATCACAAAATTAAAATATATCATTAGATCATGTAAAGAAACATGTTTGACATTACTATAGCATTAACTGATTCGTTAGTTAATGACTCTTGCTAACATGAAGATAAGACAGAACCATTGCTACATTACTTAACAAGCTCTGATGGTAGTGAATGCTTGATAGATTTTGTTTATTTATTTCCACAATTTATTTTGAGTTAGGAAATTCAAATGCCAAAAATGTTACAACACAGAAACTAAGACAATATAGCTTTTAACGTCTCTTAAACTAATGAATGTGCTCGAAGTATTAGAAAGTGATAACAGAATATAGGATATCAGGTTTCAGATTAAATATCTGTAATCTAACTCACATTGTATTGATTCTTTGTTGTGTAAAGCAAATATGTTTTCAACGTAAATTCTCCGAAAAGCACATAATTTGCCTATCAATTATGCTCGACTCACTTGACGAACAAAAAAAAAACTCTTCTCTTGAGGATTCGAGAAACAAGTTGAAAGCAAACCTCTTACAAAGTTGATTTACTGCAGACGAAAATATTGATTGTCTATTTCCCATAGGGCATTGGAAAGACCAACACCTAACCTCTGTGTGACATCCAAATGAAATGGTTTGCTGATGATTGCCAGATCTATAATTGCATGAAAATGGTTTTAAGTCAATCTTGCAAATAGCTGACGTCTCTCTATTGCATATTTCCAGAAAGTAATAATAACGCGTGTAATATTATAAGTTAGTGCTACCCAAATATTTTGATTAGTTTCCTCTCAAGTTATGTCTTCTTATCTGCTCATTCATCAATCAGTTTACGTCAGAATATTGCAACTGTTTCTTTATTATTTCCCCATGATTACTGGCCATGATTCGTAGTACGTTCCACTACGACCTTTTGTAGAAGTTGTTGGATTTCGTTCTCACTCCTCGCAAATATGTTACATAGCATGTTAAAGGGACTTTCGATAAATAACGCGTGTGATATGAATAAGTAGTTGATCTCTATCATTTATTATCATGTACTATCCTGCAATAAGAGCGTCTTGGTATTATGAAACTAAATCCGCGTCCTGGGTAAGAGGATAAACTGAGAAAAATATCAAAGTATTTGTCATATAATGCGAAACATCTTCAACGATATAAACGATGTTTAGATTTAGATTCGACAGTAATACATTGTTTGTTATGATAGACTACAGCCTAAACATAAATAAACATAAATAGCATAAAACATATTCTGTCTTAATTTATTAATATACTCAATTAGTTAAACGTGTTTTTGCTTATCAATTTTATCCAATGTACTGGTTGACTAAACGAATAGTGTAAAACTTAAATATGAAAGTTACTCTCATTCCTTAAAAGAACTTTGTAAACATTAGTTTTGGCTGATACATACGTATTTTAATGGACTGTAGAGAAAGAAGAATTTATGTTCTTACTTGTTAAACTTTTTAATTTAGGCAGCACCACACTTTTGGGAAATAGTAATATAGTTGATATCGTGTAACCTGTTAGATTTTTACTTTCCTATTTAATTGAAACGTTTACTGTGTACCGTCTGGGAATTTCAGTTTCTGACTTTCAAGTACGTTAGATGTAATCTACACTCTGTGATGAAAACAAAAGTTGAAAT